TTGGGACAAAATGTTTTCTTAGCAGTCTAGCACAGCACTGTGTACTAAATACAAAAGGCATTTTATACCTAAAAAATACTTTCTGAGAATGTAGTATTTTTAAAGTTTTCTAATAACTATATATTGATTGGGGGTGTGGTGACAGGGAGGAAGGAGGAGAGTAGGATTCAGCAAATAATTCACAACAATGAGGTAAATTTTGGTTTGCTAATAACAAAACTCCCTTTCTTGAATATATGTATGAAATATTATCAACAGGCACTTAAGCCTTTGATGCTAGAAAAAAATTAGGGTGTTTTTGAGGTAAAAGTCACATAAAGTTAACCATTTTAAAGTATACAGTGTAGTGGCATTTGTACTCTCACAATATTGTGCAACTATCCCCTCTATCTAGTTCCAAAACATTTTCATCACCCCAAATAAAACCCAGTACCCATTAAGCAGTTATTTTCCACTTATTCCATCCTCCAGCCTCTGGCAAACACCAATCTACTTTCTGTCTTTATTCTGGATATTTCATATAAAATGGAATCATAAACATGTGACCTTTTGTGTGTGTGTTTTTTCACTTAGCAAGTTTTGGAGGTGCATCCACATTGTAGCATGTATCAGTACTTCATTCTTTTCTATGCAAACATTAGTTTTGGGCTGAATGTTTTCATGATTCCTCAAAGATAATAATCTTGTACTTAAAGTAAAGGAGATCAAATTTACAAAAATCGAAAGTCCTTTAATCTTAACTTTTAGTTAAAATTTTGTTGGCATTTGTGATTATTCTCCTCCTAAAATACTTCCTAGTACTGTCCAGTGGAAAACCTAAAAGCAATTCAACCCAGGAGCAATGAGTTATCTCTAGGATCCAGACTGGGACCCCTAAATGATATTGTACTAAAAGAAAACAGGGCTCTTTGGAAAAACAGCTGTTTTCAGGATTGGGGGATACTGTATGGAAAAGCCTGAGAAATCTTATTATAAAAAATAATATAGCTATTCAAGACCAATGGAGCCATGTCAAAAGGACATAGGAACCAACCCAATGTGGCTTCTTCTGGAATAAAAATGGAACAAATGGAGCAACTTGAGCATCAGTAAGAATGACTGCAACAGACAGAAAAGAATCAACAATAAAAAGTCATGAGTTCATGATGATATGCAAACTCTCAAAAATAAAAACAAACACTCTTTATTTTGGAAGATGCTTGTGAACCAATAATTTCTGAAAAATTATTATGTAAAGGCAAAAAAACTAAGCATTTATCTTGTTTTTCCTCTCATCTAAGTACCAACCAGGCCCGACCTTGCTTAGCTTCCAAGATGAGATCGTGCATGTTCAGGGTGGCATGGCCGTAGACTATCTTGTCTTTCCTATACAGACTGTGTAGCTGGGGCTACAGGTGCACACCATGACACCCGGCTAATTTTTCTATATATTTTTAGTTGTCCGATTAATTTCTTTCTATTTTTAGTAGAGACGGGGTCTCGCTCTTGCTCAGGCTAGTTTCGAACTCCTGAGCTCAAACAATCCTCCTGCCTTGGCCTCCCAGAGTGCTAGGATTACAGGCATGAGCCACCACAAAGGCCTACAGACTGTATTTCAAGGTAACCAAATAGTTCCTTGTATGAGAATTCTAGCTAGTAAATGCAGAAGAAATTACAGAATTAGAAAATCACTGTTTTGTAATCCCGAATGAAGTAAATCTCAGCAATAATCACAATAAATAATAAGTCAGCATGAGGAACTTTTTATGGATGAATTAGCCTTACAACCCTAGAACTCTGATCAAACTTGACATCACTAAAAGATGTGATACGAGAGGAATACAATAGTAAAACTTATAAAGTATCCTTGCCTAGAAAAATAACCCAGTCTAATCAAGCTTCTGGAATTCTAACTATGAGTTTATAGGATAAAATATTAATTTGATATGAAAGGTGGACATCTAGCTGAGTGTGGTGGTAAGTGCCTGTTATCCCAGCTACTCGGGAGGTTGAGGCAGGAGCATTGCTTGGCCCAGGAGTTTGAAGTTGTAGTGAGCTATGATGACGCCACTGCACTCTAGGCCAGGCAGCAAAGCGAGATTCTGTGAAATGAAACAGTCAGGAATGTGCTTGAAATACTCGGAAAAAAAGTAGAGATATTGAAAAAAGGTAAGATTGGCAAAATGTTAACTACTGAAAGCTGGTTGGTGGGTACATGGAGGTATATTACACAATCTCTCTACTTCTGTGTATGTTTTAAACTCTCCATAGTAAAAAAACATAAAAGAGGAATTCCAAAAGACCCCAAATGGCCAAACCATCTTGAAACAGTAAAACTAAGTTGGAGGCTTCAAACTTCCAAATTTCAAAACTTACTACAAAGCCAGTCATCAGAACAGTGTGGTACTGGCATTAAGAACAGATATACAGGGTCGGGCACAGTGGCTCACGCCTGTAATCCTAGCACTCTGGGAGGCCAAGGCAGGCGGATTGTTTGAGCTCAGGAGTTCAAAACCAGCCTGAGCAAGAGCGAGACCCCGTCTCTACTAAAAATAGAAAGAAATTAATCGGACAACTAAAAATACATAGAAAAAATTAGCCGGGCATGGTGGCGCATGCCTGTAGTCCCAGCTACTCGGGAGGCTGAGGCAGAAGGATCGCTTGAGTCCAGGAGTTTGAGGTTGCTGTGAGCTAGGCTAACGCCAAGGCACTCACTCTAGCCAGGGCAACAGAGTGAGACTCTGTCTCAAAAAAAAAAAAAAGAATTTGGTTGGCCTTTGAGGCTAGTTTTGGGAGGTGGTCTCTAATTCATTGGAATTTCCCCAGTGATAAAAATGTCTTTGTTATTCACGGGGGGCCCTAATAGTTTATGTTAACCAGGTAACTCATAGTGGGCCTCTACATAAACAAGAGGACTTAGGACAAAGGGCTTTGTGTGCCTTGACAGTAGCATGACTGCCAACTGGAGGGGAGCTGGAGACTGAGTTCAACCTTGTTGCTCATGACTCTATCAATCATGTCTACATAATGAAACTCCAATAAAAACCCTAGACACCACAGCTCAGGTGAGCTTTTGTGGTTAAGAATATTCTTGAGTGCCCTGCTACACCTCAATGTGTTGGAAGGGAGATGCATGCTGACCTAACACAGCAAGGACATAGGAAGTTCTGTATCTTGTATTTACCGGACAATGGTAGACACTAAGCAAATATTTGCTTGAATGAATTATGACATAATATAGCCAAGGGCATGAGGTAACTTACAACAGAATGAAAATAGACAAGGTCTGCCCTCTAATGTGTACATTATATAAGTATACACATATATAATTTTATTCTATCATCCCTTCCACATACAGGCTCTACCAAAGTTCTGAAATTTAACAATGAAGTGGTAAAAAATTAACATTTTTTTGGAAAAATCTTAAATTTTACAAAATAACCAGATGATCCCTAAAGGAAAAGTTTTCCTGTTTTCTGTAATTTGTAATTTTTTTTTTTTTTTGAGACAGACTCTCACTCTCTT